ACACATTACGCACACACGAACATTCGTAGATTCCCCCCCCCCCCCCCTCCCTCTCGCTCTCTCTCCGTCTTTCACGGACTTTCTCTTTCCTTTTCTGCTGTCCCAGTCTCTATTTCTGTCTTTGTCTGTGTTAGTGTGTGTGTATGTTGTTGTTGTTGTTGTTGTTGTTGTGTGTGTGTGTGTGTGTGTGTGTGTGTGTGTGTGTGTGTGTGTGTGTGTGTGTGTGTTTAAAACAATAATTAGTTTTGGTTTCAGCTGAAATGATCCTCAGTCATCACTTTAGTTTAGTCTTCAGTGCAATAAGTCGTATGAGGCGATTATTTCTTATTATCTGTCGGTGTTTTGTGTGCTTTTTGTAATTTTATTTTTTAAGGGGGGGGGGGGGGGTTGTTATTTAATGTTTAGTTTTGTTGTGTTGTTTTTTTAGGGGGAGGGGGGATCTTTGGAGTTGGAGGTTTTATTTTTTTTAAAAATCTTTCTTTTTTGTTGTTTGGTTATGGTATACTGTTTGGAGGGTGTGTCTCAACTTTACCTTATCGACCACACGGTGCGTGGGTTAAACTATTTTTTTCTCTTATCTTTTCCCCCCATGAACCTACTTTTTGCTGCCTGTTTGTCTGTAACTTTTCTCAAGCTGAAACTTAAAGTAAGTTGCTTTGCTTGTGTTCTCATTGGTATTCTCTGCCTTTTTCTCTTTGTCGTTGTACAGAGTGATGGAGTGCTGTGCTCTGCCTGGCTGTAACGGAGATCTCAGCACACCAGACAACCACGTATTCAATGGCTTCGAACTTTCATCACCAGACCTCAGCTTCTCACCGACAGACCTCTTCTCGCACCGGCGGAGCAGCGAGGCTGGAAGGACACCCGTCCGCGACGCGGCTTCGCCCTCTTCGCTACAACGATGCCCGACCTCAAGCAGACGATCCTCAAACGGAAGAGCTGTTGGAACGTATGCGCCGGCAAATGCCCACTTCCTGTTACATGATGCGTCCTCTGCTGACGGAGCACGGCGTAGATGGCAGCACACGGTTTCACATCTACAAATACCCGACGGAAGCTCTGGCCGCCATGAACGAGTTTCGGTTGGAGGGGAGTCTTTGTGATATCACGCTGAACGTGAACGGGGAGTGCATACGTGCGCACCGGATTGTTCTAGCGGCATGCAGCGCCTACTTCCGTGCGATGTTCACGAACGGCATGATGGAAGCCTCTTGTAGCGAGGTGACCATTCGAGAACCGAACATCACACCACCAACACTCAGGATCCTCGTGGAGTTTGCCTACACCCACGAGATTCTCGTCACCCAAGAGAACGTCCAGGCGCTTCTGGTGTCGGCGATATTCTTAGAAATGACCCACGTGATAGAAGCATGTACGTTGTTTATGGAGCAGCAACTGGAACCCAGCAACTGCATCGGTTTTGCAAATTTTGCCGCAATTCACGGGTGTTTGGATTTGGAGGCCAAGGCGAAGAAATACATCCACGAACATTTCTGCGAAGTTATAAAGTATGATGAGTTTTTGACGTTGGAGCACGAGGATATGATTAACATTGTTAAGCAAGACGAGCTCAATATTAGGTTTGTATTTTACTGTCGCGAGAATTGTTTTTTTAAAATATTTTAAACATCCTATTCTATACTCTTGTATCCTCAAGGGCCTTGCACCGCCTGCTCTTGTGCAATGATTCTATTTTTATACCTCCCACGTTGTCTTTAATTACACTAGAAAGTGTGTCTCACACGTACAGCTCGTCTATTACGAAACATGTTTGCTTCCTATTCTTGTATTCTTTGGTCTTGCATCGTGTCTATTCTCAGACTTGGGGAATATGGTCTGTTTTGTACTATCACTACTTTTTTGTTGTTAATAGATGTTCTGTCGGAGAGGTTTCTTTTCGTCGTTTCCAGCTCGTGTCAATTTCCCTGTCTTGTCTCAGTTTGTCTTAACTTAATCATATTTTTCCACAACAATTAAGGCTAGACTAAAAAACTCTTCTTCATAAATTTATATAAAACAGTACAAACCCCCTTCACGCGGAAAATAGAATTGTTCACAGCACTTCCCGCACCTCACACACATTTTGTATACGAATATGGGTTACATCACAGCTCACCAATGACACTTTTTAGTGGCAAAACTAGTTGCAAGAAATTAATTTTATAGTGAACACTTTTTTTGCACTGAAAGTTCTCAAAACATGCGTTCAATAAAGACAATCTCACGATTAGAAAAAAATGACGGACTTGCTTTTAAAAGCGATTTCGTCCCAGCTGTAAACCTTTTAAAATCAGTAGAAACCAACAACTGGGATTTTTTATTAGTATTTTTTATGGAATTTTCTAGAATATAGCCTACAGGTCTTTACAAAAATATTGATCTGTTAAAAAGACAAATTGATACAAGTCACTGTGCAAAAGCTGAAGAGTTTATGTTCGATAGTTGAAGAGATATTTGACAATAAGTTGCGCCACGAATTTTTGACCACACTATAGCAAGGGCGGTAGTTGGGGACAGTTGTTGTACATGTATTTTATAGTGGTTAAAATATTTGCTGCTGCTTGCAGAAGACGCAAGTTGGATCCTCGCCCGGGTGTCCCGATGTTATTTTTATCGAGTGCCTCGCTCGGTTTATCTACCCGAATGCTGTGTCATACTCAGCCGAGTTGGTCCTAAAAGGCATTGTTGAAGTAGCCTGTTTCCTAGATAAGCTAAGTTGTATGGACAATGGAGTAAAACAGTTACAGTAATTTTGAAGTTGGTGAGCGCTGTGCTATGATCTAGTTTTCTATTCCTTTTCAGCATTGCTACCGTGCTAATTTATGCTTAGTTTAGTGAAAAAAGTGACCGATATTTTGATATCTATCTGTCAACCTAATCTCCACGAATCCTCCCCCTCCCCCCTTTTTTCTGATAACGCGACATGCCTGTGCTGTTTTGTGAAGACACGTTTGATGCATTTTTCACCCTTCTGGCCCCGTTCTTTTGTCCCGTTCCTTCGTGCACATGACCTATATTATTATACTATTATCCGTTCGTTCTAATACGTTTAGTCTCCAGTCGGGGTAATGGTTGGGTAGCGTAAATTGTAGACACTTCATTAACTTCTTCACCTCCGATTGTTTCCATCTATGTGTATTGCATTTTTCTAGCACCCAGTGGCCTTCGTCTTATCATTGTACTTATTAGTCTTTATCGGGCACTCAACGAACCACTTGACTTAAATGAGTTTGCATGTTTTCAGGTTCTTGTTCTTTTCCTTTATCTGTACCACATTATCGGTACTACATTTTTTATTTTTTTTAAATCAAATTTTATTCTGCTAGCTGGATGACGAAGTGCGCACCACGTTGTTCGTCGTACTTCGGTTGCCTGTGCCAATCTTTAGTTTCCCTGCACTACAAATTAATCACTATCTTCACGTACATTGTGTGTTTTCTTGTCTTTTTATTTATTGCTTCGTTGACTTGTTCTGCCCTCTTCACCACGTTTGTGCTAGCGTCTGTGATGTAGCACTTAGATGCTTTGCTGTCGCACGCTGAAGACCCGAGTTTGACTCCCTTGTTGGGAGAAGTGTTATCGAGTATCTCGGTACTTCTGCTGTGACATAGTAACCCTCTTAGCCCAGGTTGGCCCTGTCAGACAGGGTCGAAGCCGTCCTTATAAATGATCTAAATTGTGTCGATGGGGGGCTTAACAACAACGTCTTAAAAAGCGTTTTTATGGTATGATGACTTTTTACAGTTGCTCGAAGAAGACGTAAGTTGCACTCCTTTGTGGGAAATTATTTTGTCGAGTATCGCGTACATGTACTTGGATGTTGCATCCCACTCAGCCTGATACGGTCCACGTAGCCTTCCTGGTAAATTATCTAAACTGTGTCGAAAAAAAGCGTAAAACGTTTTATAGTGATTTTCAGTCAACCGATCTAATTTTGGGAGGGTCCGCCTTCTTAGACGTCATTGCAAAAAAAGTGAAGCCTCCGTTCACAGGCAGTGCGCACTGGTTCCACAATGACTTGACGATCGATTCTTTTGAATCCGTTCATTGAATTGGTACCCAGCTAGTATGACCTATTTGTGCTGCAAGTACCTTAAAACTCACGACTATTTCCCCCGGCCGTCCCCAGGTGCGAGACCCAGGTGTTCCAGGCGGTGGTGCGGTGGGTGGAGCACGACACGGACCGCCGGCTCAACCAGCTCGTCGACCTCCTGGACAAAGTCCGGCTGACCAGCATGGCCCCGTGCTTCCTGGAGAACCAGCTGGAAAAGTGCACCGTGATCAAACAGCTGCCCCACTGTGTCCAGCTGCTCCTGGATAAGCTCCGAAAGCTGCAGCAGCACAGCGGAGACACGCTGGACAGGCCCAGGAAACCCTGCAAGCCTCTGGTCGTCTACAGCGTCGGCGGGTTCTACCGCAAAGTCATGGATTCCCTCAAGTGCTTCGAGTGCTACAACCCCGTGAGTAAGGAGTGGACTCGTCTGCCGGACCTCCCCCGACCTCGCTGCGGCCCCGGGGTCACGTCACTGCAGGGGCTAGTCTACGTGGTGGGGGGCAGGGTGATGCGCTGCGGGGAGAGTGTGGACTCGTGTTCGCTGGATGTGTACGACCCCGGCCAGAACATGTGGATAAACGGGAACCCGATGAGCGTGGCGCGGAACCGCGTGGGCGTGGCGGTGCTGGACAACATGATCTACGCCGTGGGTGGCTCGGACTGCGGGGAGCAGCACAAGTCCGCTGAGAGGTGAGAGGGTCTGCACGTGTACAATGAGTACAATGTGTACATACACGCGTAAAAACCACACTCATACAGCACACTCAAACACGTTGACGCGCAAACGGAATAATATATTTTATAGAGAGAGATATATGTATGTCACATATAATATATATACACGTTCACTTTCGCTCACACACCTGCACACGCTCTCTCTTTCTCTCTCTCTCTCTCTCTCTCTCTCTCTCTCTCTCTCTCTCTCTCTCTCTCTCTCTCTCTCTCC